CAGTTTCGGGAAGCGTTAATTCAACGTTTCGAACCAATCAACTCCAGCTACATGGCGCGGCAGCAGATTCATCGGCATAAACAGTTCGGCAGTGTAACAGAGTACACGCAGCAGATGGAGAGCCTCTTCAACCGAATAACCGACCTGACCGAAGGGGAAAAAATCCAAGCGTATACTGAGGGGCTAAAGATGGAGGTCCACCGACAAGTGATTGCCGCGAACTACAACAATTACCGCGACTTGGTGTCTGCAGCAGAGAGATTCGATGCGCTGATGCGATATGAACCCGAGATACGACGCCACATGCCGAACCGATCATTTGGCACGAAGCGATCGGTACCACCCACGACCGCCGACCTGATGGATATCGACAAGATCGACGCGAAGTAGCGGCCCACAAAATATGAGAAGTGCGAATTTTGCGGTGCAGCAGGACATCGACTCTTGGCGTGTTGGAAGTTGAAGAAGGTACGAGCGGAGCTGCAGGGCAACAACAGTGCGACATCCACGATGGCGAAAAAAGGAGGACACGATGGCGCGAATTTTAAACGCCACGACCGGCCGGCAATAGGGGAAATCGCCGAGACAAATGGAGGCTCCGCGAAACAAGACTTTGCACCGACCTGGAAACTCCTGCCGAACACCCCCGAGAGTACGAATATTCCCTTTCGAGGTTTTCAAGCCTTTAAAAAATTCAAGGGAGATTTCAAGGCCAAGAAAAAGCCTTCAGACATTATTCAGGTACCTGAGAAGTTGGGCAAACCACTCTGGAGCGTTGAAAAGGGTCGTGCGTTCCAAGGAGTTCATATTCTCTCCCCGCAGCATAGTGTTAAGGCTCCCCATTGCCCACAGGAGAAGCCTACACAGCTGCAAAGGCTTAAGGGAAGGTTCCAGGCCATGACGAAGCTGAATCGGCCTCGGATAAATCCTTCTAACCCTACTCAGTTGGAAACTGATATGGAGTCAGCAGCTTCGAGCGCAGGACCGAGGAATGATCTATTCGACATACCCTACGATCCTATAAGCGAGACTATCTACGGTTACTCGGAGCAGCAACAACCACTACTACTCGAGGTGATCTGCAACGGGCGACGACTCCAGGCACTGGTGGACAGCGGTGCATCTCACTCGGTGTGCGACCGGAGGACATTGGAGAAAATTGGAGAACCTTCGGAGGAGACCAAGTTCTTGGCAACAATGGTGGACGGTACGAAACTTCCCATCCACGGCGAAGCATCACTGCAACTGCACATAGGGGCGCTGAGGTGGAAGCCGACGTTGCCGATCACGAACATCAAGGGCTTAGATTTCATCTTGAGGCGAGATTTCTTGAAGCGGTTCAACCCCGAGATCGACTGGGTCAACAGGAAGGCGTGCATCTACAACAACGGGAAACGAGTGGAGCTGCGAAGCTGGACGGATACAGGGAGCGTTCCTGAAACGACACTGGCACGGTTCGAACAGACGGTGAACGAGAGTAACACGGGTTACCTAGCACTGGTTATGGCAGCAGCAGAGGAGGAGAAGCCAAGTTCGGAGCTACCTGCAGCAGTGAAGGAGGTCTTGGAGCAATACAAGGATATAATGCCCGACGACCTACCTGCAGGCGTACCCCCTGCACGCACCCACGAACACGAGATCGTGGAGGAACCAGGTGCGAAACCCGTCTCACATGCACCATACCGACTGAGTCCGACCGAACTGACAGACATGAAAAAACAGATAGAGTATCTACTAGACAGACAACTGTTCCGCCCATCCACCTCTCCCTACGGAGCACCAGTTCTCTTCACACCAAAACCAGACGGCAGTCTACGGATGTGCATCGACTACCGCGCACTGAACAAACAGACAGTAAAAAACAAATATCCCATACCGCGCATAGACGACCTACTCGATCAACTGCATGGAGCAACAGTCTTCTCGAAGCTGGACCTACGGTCAGGTTACTGGCAGATCAAGATGGCGGACAACTCGATCCACAAGACGGCGTTCCGTACCAGATACGGCTCCTACGAATACTTGGTGATGCCGTTCGGACTCTGCAACGCACCGGCAACGTTTCAGGCGGAGATGAATCACATCTTACAACCCCTGCTGGACGAGTGCGTGGTGGTGTACCTAGACGACGTTCTCATCTACTCCAAGAACATGAAGGAGCACGTGGAGCATCTGCGGAAGGTGTTCGAGATCCTGCGGAAGAACAAGTTCTACGTGAAGCTATCAAAGAGCGACTTCGCCCTGAAGAAGGTGCAGTTTCTCGGGCACATGGTGAGTGCCGAGGGCGTACACGTGGACCCGCAGAAGATCGAAGCCGTCAAAAAGTGGAAAGTACCGGAGAACGTGAAGGAGTTGCAGCAGTTCCTAGGCTTCGCCAACTACTACAACAGGTTCGTGCCACAGTACGCTAAGATTGCAGCACCACTGACCGACCTACTGAAAAAGGATACACCCTTCAAATGGGATACTCCTCATCAGCAAGCCATGGAGCAGCTACAGACCGCACTGACCACAGCCCCGGTACTCATCCTACCAGACCCTGAGAAGGACTACGTAGTTGAAGCTGACGCTAGTGACCAGGCAGTCGGAGCGGTACTGATGCAGGATCACGGGAGCGGTTTACAGCCCATCGCCTACCTCAGTAAGAAGCTACACGGAGCAGAACTGAACTACCCCATTCATGACAAGGAAGCCTTAGCGATAGTCATAGCCTTCAAAGCGTGGAGGTGTTACCTAGAGGGAGCCAAGACTACAGTCTATACTGACCAGTGCAGTCTCAAATACCTGAAGTCGCAGCCGACACTTTCACGACGACAGGTGCGGTGGGTGGACTTCCTGGAAACTCACTTCCACTACGACATCGTCTACAAGCCCGGGCTACACAACAAAGCAGACGCATTGAGCCGCCCCGGTCATGTAGCAGGCATCCAGCTCGACGGGATGAACCCTCTGCTAAAGGGTCTATTCCAACATGGGTACTCTGTGGACGCAGAGATCGCTACAGCACAGACCAAGAAGCTGTTACAGTGGGAGAAAGACTTAGCGGTAAGGAAGGGTTCAGGAAAGATTTGGGTACCGAATCACGCCCCGCTACGACAGATCCTATTGGAGGAGTTTCACGACGTACCTTACGCGGGACATTTCGGGAGCAACAAGACGTTAGCAGGGATAGCGAAGTATTACTACTGGCCCGGGATGGCAGCAGACGTGCAGCAGTTCGTCACCTCTTGCGACACGTGCCAGCGGATGAAGAGTAGCAAGCAGAAAAAAGCAGGGTTACTTCAGCCTCTACCCGTACCGGAGCAGCCATGGCAGGTCGTTAGCCTCGACTTTATCACAGGACTTCCTTCGACCTCACGGGGGCACGATTCCATCCTCGTAGTCATCGATAAGTTCTCCAAAATGGGTCACTTCATACCGACCAACGCCACAGCTACAGCTGAAGCAACTGCTCACCTCTTCTTTGATCATCACCATCCACGGCATCCCCGCTACACTCATCTTAGACAGAGACCCAAAATTCACCAGTAAGTTCTGGAAGGAGCTCATGGGACTGTTGGGGACAAAACTTGCGATGTCTTCAGCATACCACCCTTAGACTGACGGACAGACAGAGCGACTCGATCAAGTGGTTGAACAGTTACTGCGCACAGCTTGCAAGGACGACGTTAGCCACTGGGACACACAGTTACCGACCCTAGAGTTCGCTTACAACAACGCATCACATGCGGCCACAGGAAAAACTCCTTTCTTCCTGTGTTACGGACGGGAACCACTCACACCACAGCAGCCAACCACACCGGCACACGTCCAAGCCGCACATGACTTCGTCACCACCATGCAGCAGCTATGCGAGAAGACTCAGCGATGACTCACCACGATGCAGACCTCCCAGAAGCAGTATGCCGATCGTCAGCGACGTGATCACTCAGTAGCAGTCGGAGATCAGGTGCTTCTTCACACGCGCAACTTGAACCTGTCTCACCTCCCATCCAAACTCCGGCCTCGCTTCTGTGATCCTTTTCTCGTTGAGGCACAGGTGACACCAGTTACATTCCGCTTGCGCTTACTTGATACATGGAAGCGTCACAACGCTTTCCATGTTCACCTACTGAAGCCCTACAAGGACCCCAACCAACAGTTCCAGGGACGGCAGCTACCGCCACCACCACCTGTTCTCATACAGGATGAACCCGAGTACAAAGTGGAGCGCGTTCTCACTCATCGGCGCCGCGGCGGCAAGACTCTCGAGTTCCTGATACGCTGGAAGGGATACGACCCTACTGAGGACAGTTGGGTTGCAGAAGCTGATATGGGCAACGCACGCCATGCTCTCAAGGACTATCTTGTCAAGCAGGGTGTATCTCACGCCACCCAGCTTTGAGGGGGGGACGTGTGAGAGTACGACGGCTTATGCCAGCTATGCTTGCTTGCCTCTACTTTATTATGCTATTTCTAGCATAGGATAATCATATGCATGCATGAATTGCTTGATTTCCTAGGCTAGGTGCTTTCCTATATTTTATTATAGTTATAGCACCGAGCTAGGTTGCGTGCACCGAATTCTGTCCTTTTCGGTTGCCACCGAATTGCCTTCTACCGAATTCGGTAAGGGTCTGTTCGGGACGTTACGTGACCCGCGGAACCTTCGCGTAACACCTGGTTACGGGGCTTTGTGTCGAGCCTATATATAGCCTCGTGTTGTACCCAGGTGATCATTCGATTCAATTCGATTCAATTCAATTCAATTACATTCTCTTTTCTGAGCTCGATCCTAGATCCTCACACCGACAAACTATGCTAGACAACTCAACCCCCTTTCAAATCCTGCCCATACTCACGACCCTTGGGCGCCACACCATTCTCCCACACTCACTATTCGATACAGTCACAACTCCTCTAGCCCCCGACCAGCTACCCAAACTCACCATTCAATATAGTCACAACCCTTGGTGCGCCACACCAGCCCCGTATACTCACCATCACCCAACATATACACACTACTGGAGCCTATCACTCACGTCAGTCCGGCTGGAAAACACCGTCAGTGCCTGCTGCAGCTCCAAGGCACGGCAGATCATCTCGTAAGTGGAGCCCCAACGTGTAGGCGAGTCGGAGATCAGACGTAGCACCTTCGCGTTGTCTCTGCCTGCCAACCTGCGCTGCAGACTGACAAAAGCCTCTGAGCGCTGGACCGACCATCCAATGTACGAACACGCATCCCGTAGGCGTTTCAACGCCTCCTTCACATCGTCCAACTTCAATGCCTCCTGCACTGCAATGTTCATGACATGTGCAAGACAGCTGTGTACGGAAAGGGCATAAGGGAAGGAAACAGATTCAGCTAAGGTTGATGTCACCTCGTGAGAAAGTTACTACTACAATATGCTGCCGAAGTGCCACATTTGAATGGATGCATGACAGGACGTACCGAACGTGACGCGCAATGTCGAGCAGTGAATTAGCTGTCCAGGCCCCTGGCCCCTCTGCTGGGTCCCCCGACAGAAGGCGCATCGCCTTGTTGTTGTTCTCCGCATTGTCCGTCGTCACAGCAAACACTACATCCTGCAGGCCAGCCTCGGTCAAGATGCGCTCGAGGGTCTGTGCTATGAGAGACCCTGTGTGCGAACCCTCCAACTGCACGAAATCCAAAATCCCCGAACGTAGCCTGAAGTCACTAGTGATCCAGTGGACGGTCACACACATGAAAGCTGTATGGTTCTCACTGGTCCAGATGTCCAAGCTAAGGGACACCCTCCCCGTGAGACCGTCGCCAAAGATCTCTTGCCTCAGCTCCTCTCGAGCCACCTCACTGAATGCTTGCATGTCCCGTGCCAAACGGTAACGTGACCCCAGCAAATCCTTGGCCGATGGATTCAGCAAGGCGACAAATCGACGGAACTGGTGAGGTCGGGCAGGGACAAAGAAGCAAACACACACAAAGCATTGTCCTAGCTGTGTACCAGGGCATCCCAACCCAACTGAGATGTTCAGACAGGATTTGAGACTCCCGGTGCAGGAATAGAGGGTAGAGTAGTTGTTGTTTGACTCACCGAAGCTCGGTCGACAAGACGAAACGGAAGATCCGCATAAGCAAACAACTCCACGAGAGCATTGTGTAACTCGTCCTGCGACACCCTTGGACTCATGAACACGCGCATGTCAACACCACTACGACTCCCACTCCCCCCCCCCCCCTGCGCCACTGCCCGCCGCGGCTGCAGCAGCTGGGATGTTCGGCCAGGCAGCCGCGTGCTCCCATGCACCACCGTGCGGGTTGGGCACTGTTGGCCCATCGCCCGACACGCCATAGCCGCCCCAAGGAAACTCTAGGTCCTTTGGCTTCGCCGGGTCCAGGAACCGCCGCACCCAAATTTGCACATTAGGGTAGTGCGCGCGCTTGACATGCTTCCACCCAGTCCCCGTGCTACCCCCATCCCATCCCATTACGTCCCCACACACCCGACACGGACGACAACCATCTTCAAGCTCACCAAACATTCCCACAAGTAAACCAGGGTAGTGCTTCCCTGCCAAACCCTCAACCACCGAATCCTTAGGCAAATCCTCCTTTCATTGACGCTTTGACGCACGCCCACGACTCCCCGCTGTCCCACCACCCCGACTGATGCCACCAGCATGCAGCGGCGTAGACCCAACACCATCGGACCGTTGAGTGGGTGCATTCCCTGGCCCTGGATCGGGCGCAGCCTCGGCCGCTCTCCCACCACCACTGCCACCGCGCCCAGCCCTTGCAGCACTATGCGCAACCCTCCCAACCCTCCCCCCACCTCGTCCATCTACTGAGGGGCCGCTAGCATACCCCCCACTGCGCCCCCCTGCATTGCCTATGGCCTGCGCACGCGCAGAAGACCGACCCTGCCCGCGACCAACCCGTCCCCCCCCACGACCCCCTCGACCCCTTCCTCCCCGTCCATTGTCCCCTCCATGTTCCCTGGCATTGCGGCCAGCACCCTCCTCCTCCTGCTCTTGCACCTCCTCCTCCACATCCGCGTCCCCTCCCGCCCCCGCTGCAGAGTCCTCTGCCGCCGCCGCCTCGACCTCCGCTACAGTAGGCCTATACTCATTATCATCGCCTGTTTCATCACGGGTCTGCCCACCACCCTGCCACTCTCGATGAGGACTGCGAGGCCAGTAGGAATCATGTTCCTCACCCCCTGCATCTCCGCCATCAGTCTCAACAGGGTGCTGTAGAGCACTACCCAGCATAAAGTTGGTTCGTGCTGCAGGTGTTGGAAGTCGATTAAAACTAGCACCTGGCAAAGCTCGTCCTTCTTCATTCCCATCTCCGCCTCCCTGGTTAGACTCCCCGTTCATATTCCGTTCATTGTAGCGCCTTCGCGCTGCTAAAGGTGGCGCCTTGGCGCTGCTAAAGGTGGCGCCTCCGCGCTGCTGAAGGTGGCGCCTTCGCGCTGATGAAGGTGGCGCCTTCGCGGTGATGAAGGTGGCGCCTTCGCGCTGCTGAAGGTGGCGCCTTCACGCTGATCAAGGTGGCGCCTTCGCGCTGCTGAAGGTGGCGCCTTCGCGCTGCTGAAGGTGGCCGCGATCGCGCTGCCCTATCGCGTTGCCTGATCGCGATGCTGAACCTGGCCGCGATCGCCCTGTCCTAATGCGGTGCCGCGATCGCGCATATGCGGGGCGGCGATCGCGCCAATGTGGGGCCCTGATCGCGCTGAGCAAACGCGGGGCCGAGATCGCGCTATTGCGGGGACGCGATCCCGCCAATGCGTGGCCGCACGCGCGCTGCTGCGCCCCTGGTCGTGCGACGCTGCGAGATGGCGGGAGCGCCAAACCCTAACCTGAAGATAATATGCAGTTTAAATAGTGCTAACATTGAAGAGTGAAGACTGTATGAGGCTCCCTAGCTGCAGCGCAGAAGTACTAGCCTTGATCTAGTCTAGCGACTAGATCAGAATGTCGAGGGAAAAAAAAACCTAAAAAACCAACCGATGTTCAACCCCTACCCTAATCCCAAAACGGGTCGGGTAACCCTGTCATTTGACTGGGTACGCGACCCGGACGGGACGGGTCAACCTGACCCGGCGGGTCGCAAATACCCGTCACTAAATCACAGTGACGGGTCACGGGTCGACCCGACCCGTCCGGGTTTTCCCGACCCGACCCGGGCGGGTCGGCCTTCTCAGCATTCCTGACCCGACCCATCCCTAACTTTGGGTATTCATATCCCATCCTGCCCTCCCATCCCATCCTGCCCTCCCATCCCATCCTGCCCTCCCATCCCATCCTGCCCTCCCATCCCATCCTGCCCTCCCATCCCATCCTGCCCTCCCATCCCATCCCATCCTGCCCTCCCATCCCATCCTGCCCTTCCATCCCATCCTGCCCTCCCATCCCATCCTGCCCTCCCATCCCATCCTGCCCTCCCATCCCATCCTGCCCTCCCATCCCATCCTGCCCTCCCATCCCATCCTGCCCTCCCATCCCATCCTGCCCTCCCATCCCATCCTGCCCTCCCATCCCATCCTGCCCTCCCATCCCATCCTGCCCTCCCATCCCATCCTGCCCTCCCATCCCATCCTGCCCTCCCATCCCATCCTGCCCTCCCATCCCATCCTGCCCTCCCATCCCATCCTGCCCTCCCATCCCATCCCATCCTGCCCTCCCATCCCATCCCATCCCATCCTGCCCTCCCATCCCATCCCATCCTGCCCTCCCTGCCATGGTACAGGGAGTCTGCAAGAGGATCATATGTGCCCAACAAGGGCTTCCTGCCAGATATGGTTGCGTCTGACCCTAATGCACAGCCCACACTGTTTGATGCAGCACTTGCTGTTGCACCTGAAGATTCACCTGAAGGTTCACCTGAAGATGACTCTGGTGCTGCTGCAGCTTGTGGAGGAGAGAGTGAGGGTAGGAGTGGCTGGGAGGGAGAGGCAGCAGCGGTGGCTAGGGAGGGACTAGCAGCAGTGGCAGCAGCAAGAGGAGGAGAAGCAGGAGTAGGAGAAGGAGCTACAGCAGAAGCGGCAGCAAGAGCAGAAGGAGCAGCACAAGGAGCAGTAGCAAGAGATTCATCAAAGCACCTGTCAGAGTCTCTGCAGGAGCAGTACATCCATGGCAGTGCTGTTGCTGCTGCTGTTGCTGCTGGTGATGGTGATGCTGCCGAAGCTGCTGCCGCTACTGCTGTTGTGGGCAGGGATGGGTTTATAAAAGCAGCTGGTGCAGGCGAAGAGTGCACACCTGCAGCAGCACCGTCAGCACTGACGCCGGCACAAATGGATGAGCTGTTGGATCTCTGTCTGCTGCAAGCCCTCTCCGTCTCTGTCAAGCCCTCTCAGTCTCTGTCAAGCCCTCTCACCTGCCCCTCCTAGCTAGCTCCCTCTGGTAAGCTGTTTGAAATCAATCGTCTCATTTCATGTGATGTGATCATTTCTTGGTCCTTCAGCCCTCCTGTTCTCTTCACCACAGGTGACTGCGCATGGGAGAAGAGTGGCGGCTTACATTGCGTGTAGCCACTTATTTCCCGCAAATGTCATAGCTCACTGCAGTTGGCATGGCATGACATATCCGCGCGTGGTCTAATGTGTCAAGTACAAAGTGCATGTCATGTCAGTCATGTCATCCGTTGCTGTCCTGCCACCATGCTATTGGTTCTGGCAGGTCCAATCACGTGCTGCCATGTCGGCCGCCCGGCACCACAGTGGACATCAAGAAGTCGTCTCACAAGAAGATGAGCAAGTGGTTGCATGTCAAGGCTGTTGAATGGAGTTGTGACAGTGAGTGAGCTTGTAAATGTATGTGTTTAAGTTTTTGGGTAAATCGGTGTGTTTGATTGATTGGGTGATTGAGTGTGTACACGTTTCTTTATTGTGATTTCATCACTTCTACTTATGCTCATTCCGTCTACCCTGTGCATCTACCAATCCTTCGCACCTTGACAGTCAGAATGCTTTCCACTTTGCTTTACTAAACTGCACTGCACGTACCCGTGTGAAAAAAACGTATCAGCCTGGAAATACAAAATCACCTCTACCATCAACCACACATGGCATAAACCCAACCTTCCCCTTGCGCCCATCTTTTTACCTCTGCACATGCTCAGATATGTGGCAAGGAGGACAAGCACCGCAGGGAGTTCATCATCTCGGCTATCAACCACCCATGGCATGTTCCCGCCTGTACCATCCACCCCTCCCCGTTGCACCCATCTACCCCCCTCACAGATATGCGGCAAGGAGGACAAGCACCGCAGGGAGTTCATCATCTCGTCTATCAACCACCCATGGCATGTTCCCGCCTGTACCATCCACCCCTCCCCGTTGCACCCATCTACCCCCCTCACAGATATGCGGCAAGGAGGACAAGCACCGCAGGGAGTTCATTATCTCGGCTATCAACCACCCATGGCATGTTCCCGCCTGTACCATCCACCCCTCTCCGTTGCACCCATCTACCCCCCTCACAGATATGCGGCAAGGAGGACAAGCACCGCAGGGAGTTCATCATCTCGTCTATCAACCACCATGACTGATTATGACACGTGTTTGCGCCTCTTCTTGTTGTCACGTACTGCAGGACAGGTGCTGCTGGTGAGGGAAGGAGAGGCGAATTGGGCAGAAGGAGTACCCAGGGGCATAAATCTGAGTGAGGAAGGGGGAGGTTGACGATTGACAGGTGATGCAATCGGTCATGGAAAAGCAGCGTCCAGGTTCATTGGAGCATGGGAGCATGGGAGCATGGGAGAATCAGAGAATGGGAGCATGGAGAAAGCATGGGGAAAGACAGGGGAGCACTAGAGGAATGGAGCAAGCAAGCAATGGCTCACCCGAAAAGGAAAGAATGGGAGAAGGAGATTAGGGTGTACGGGAGCAAAGAGGGTGATGGTGCATGGGAGCAAAGAGGGTGATGGTGCATGGGAGCAAAGAGGGTGATGGTGCATGGGAGCAAAGAGGGTGATGGTGCATGGGAGCAAAGAGGGTGATGGTGCATGGGAGCAAAGAGGGTGATGGTGCATGGGAGCAAAGAGGGTGATGGTGCATGGGAGCAAAGAGGGTGATGGTGCATGGGAGCAAAGAGGGTGATGGTCCACGGGAGAACGGGCCAACTGGTGAGGGGATCATGAGATCAAGAAGCATGGGAAGATGGGAGCAAAGGAGTATGGGAAAATGGGATCATGGGAGCCAGCCAGGGAGCAGCGGAAAAAGAGAACATGGGAGTGCCAGAGAGCAGTAGGCCATTGGGGGAGAATACAGTGTGCCGAAACAGGGCAGCAGAGGAGGGCGGGGGAAAAGTGCTGTTGGAGAGGAAGTGGGAAAAGAGGAAGTGGAGGGGAAGAGAGGGGGAGGGAGATGAAGAGGTAAAGAGAGATGAGGGAAAGGGGGTCTGGCTTCATTGCCAGATCCACGCAAGCAGCCGAAGCGCCAAAATGAGCCAAGCCGCACCGTGCCGAACCGAGCCGGCAGCTTGCCCGGCTTCTGGCTGGTCGGACGGAGGCGAGCCGGGACGAGCTGGTCTCAGCCAGTACAGCAGACTGCCGACTGCCGGATCCGCACAGAACAGGAGTTTCATCATCAGATCCACGCAAACACAGCAATTCACGGTCAGTTTGACATGAGCCAATCTGGGAAGTTAAGACGAGATGCATCGGCTCGTCTTCAAACTGACAGCTCATCAAGCCGTGCGACGGCTTGTCGGATCAGCTTCGGCGAGCTGAAGAGCCGGGTCACGGCTCGCCGAGCCAGTTCGGCTTGAAGCGGTCATGCTAGAAGAGATACGAATGACTATCGTATCATGAATGAACACATGGTACCTTGTCATGAGCACCCCATCAAAGAACTTGCATTCACACTTGAGCTGCCGTCGATCCTTCAGGGCGAAGCACGGTGCGTCAAGCAGTATTACTGAACCTAATGAAACTTACAAATGGACTCTTTGAAGGGCATGAACGCCACGTCACACTAATCTCTGCCCTTGCACGCCCGCAATGCCTCAACCCCGCTGGAAGCGCAGGCAATGACAATCGGCAGGCTTGCGCTATCCCATCACATCCTCTCTTCCTTCATCCCCTCTTCTCCCCTCCTCCTTTCCTCACAGCTCTCATAGCTGGTAGCGGTTGCCTGTTGGCATGGAAGAAGGAATCGAGTGAGGGGAAAGGGGGGAGAGGGCGAAGAGCGGAGGGACGTACTGGAGAGCGAGGGGGGAGTGGAACATAGCTGATGGTTTTTCTCTGGCCAGCAAAAATGCACCTGAAGCGCAATAGTGGTTTTTGATAGACAAAAGGCGCAAAGGAGGGCCGCATGGTTGCAACTACAAATGAATGGAAAGAGGGTTATGACGAGATCGAGAACAGCAGCCCTTCATAAATTCACACCATTTGGGTGAGATAGGAAGACGGTCTCGTACATCCTGCTCAGCTTTTCTACATCCTCGCCCTGCCGCCGTCAGCTGAGAGACCGTCAGCTGAGGCGGCGCGCATTCATTCAACCTGCTGCCACGACTCAGCCATGCGCCCACCCAAATCAATGGCAAATGCGGCGGCGGGAGCCATCGCTAGAATTGCGTTGAAGATAGTGTGAGGAAGGGACGATTATGTTTCGCCGTCACGCTTTTTGACACACCCACGGTGGAAAGTCGCGCATCGCAAAATCAAGGCGGCCTCATTTCTGCGACGAATTCTAAGCACGTAACCCTAATACTAATGTCGCGCGTCGCCCCTTTCGTGGTCAGTGGCGACATAAAGGCTGTGCGAAATGACAGCGATATCTCCCATCTCGTCACCGATCTATACTCTGGTGGTGCATGTATTTGCGCGTTCGTAGCGAAGAACTCCTAAGAATGGACCTGATGAGTTGCTGCGCGAATCTCGCTCTGCCGACAGCGGGGATGGTAGACTTGTAAAACAGAGTAGCTCTGATGACTGGAAGGCTGGAAACTTGGCTGGAAAAGCTCAAGAGAGCTGCTGGACTTGGCTTGATGAGAGAAAACTTACACTATGCTCAAGATTGTACAAGCCCACTAAGGCACTACTTCTTAAGCATTATAATCATGCAGATTGATAGCTCAAACTAGGCTGCTAGACAAGGCAACTTCCTGGAGAACTTAGGCACAATTCAGATTCCATGAACCTTGAGTGACTTGAGAGCCACATGAGGTGCATGAATAAGAAAGCTCTGGAATTCTCTGTCATAGCTGATTTTGTTTAGTAGAAACCTGTAGAAACTATTGACACTTCTTCTTGAAAACAATTCCGAACTGTATCGAGAATTCGGCTCCAATCTGATTGGTTGAGAAACTTTTTGATTTGTTTGCGAAGCCTTCAATCCGTCGCCGACATTCCCCCCTTGTTGCTCCTTGTGTGCAAAGGGCTGGGGCGGCAGAAACTTGATTCTCCAACACTCCCCCTCACACCAGACCCGAAGCACACATACGCCCATTCTTATTCTCCTCTTACATCTCTTTGGCATACACTCCATGCTGCTGCCCATATTGCTTCTCCTGCTGGGGTTTCTCAATTACTATTGCAAGTTCGTGGAGAACTTCAGCAGTAGGGCGGCACCATTGAACAAGCTGCTGAAGGACGACGTCAAATGGCAATGGGGTGAGCAGCAGAAGACGGCACTGAAGGATCTGATGGGAGCAGTGAAGAATGGGGCGGTGCTTCAGCTGCCAAGGGCAGACTTACCCTTCGTTCTATACACGGACTGGAGCAGCACGGGCATGGGAGCCATCCTAAGCCAGCAAGAGGGAGGGGAGGAGAAGGTGGTGGCCTTCGCTAGCCGTTCATGCAACCCAGCAGAAGCCAACTACTCTTCATACGAGGGAGAGGGGCTAGCAGCAGTCTGGGCAGTGGGACACTTTCGAGTGTACCTGCAAGGCAGGCCCTTTACGCTGGTCACCGACCACCAGCCGCTATTGTGGCTAATGCAGAACCAGAGTTTGACGGGGAGGAATGCCAGGTGGGCGATGAAGCTGCAAGAGTATCAGTTCACCATTCGACACCGCCCAGAGAAGACCATGCAGCACGTGGACAGTCTGTCCAGGAACCCGCCAGCAGTGGCGCCACAAATGGCTCTGGCAGCATTAGCAGCGGACCCCGTTACTCCGCTACGCAGGGAGCAGCAAGTAGGAGCCACGGATGTGTGGGAAGATCCAGAGACACTGGCATGGCTGAAGGGAGAGACAGCAGAGGGAGCGGTGGTGTCATTAAGGGCCCGAAGCAGAGGGCAACATTACTGCTGGTATTAGAACCAAGTGCAGATAAGGACATAGGATGGATGGAAGCAAGTGTTGGAGCCAAAGGAGAGAGAGGGAGTGATTCAGGAGATACACAACCGGCTGGGGCACTTTGGTCCGCTTCGCACGCAGCAGCTACTGCAGACGGGATGGTGGTGGGCAGGGATGCAGAAGGAAGTCAAGGACTGGGTGGCCAAGTGCCCAGCGTGCATCAGGAACCGAGCAGCATTCGAGAGGAGTAAGGCGGAGCTGCAGCCTCTGCCCATCGTGGGGCTGGGCTATCGGTGATCTCTGGACCTGGCGGGAGAACTGCCCCTGACTAGGCGAGGGCGGCGGTACGTGGTGATTATGATAGAGCATGTGAGCAAGTGGGTGGAGGTGCGGGCAATGAGTCATAAGACAGCCGAGGCAGTGGCAGATGCCTTTGAGGAACAGATTCTGACGAGGATTGGAGCCTGCGGGGAGGTGTTGACGGATCAAGGCACTGAGTTCTGAGGGGAGTTCGAGGAACTGCTGGCCTCGTGTCTGATTCCCCACCGCATGACATTGAGATATCATCCGCAGAGTGGTGGGCTGACGGAGCGGCTTATTCTGACCTTGAAGCAAGGGCTGCAAGCGTATGGGGAGATAAGGAAGCGAGACTGGGACAGGCAACTGCACTGGATAATGGCGGGATACAGGTTCAGCAAGCAGGCGCCACTCAAAGATCTCACCTTACCATCTGCTCTTCGGCCGAGAAGCCGTGCTCCCAGTGGGGGCCCCACAAGTTCTGACGGATGTTATGACGCCGGGGACATCGGAAAAGTGGGCAGCATTAGCGGCCGTCAGGGGGGAGTACCTGAGGCGCTTGTTACCGGCAACCTTGTAGAGCCTGCACGTGGCTCAACTGAGGGACATCCACCGATACAGGCAGCGACAGGAGCAGAGGGCGGGCGGTGCACCAGCGGCGCTGCAGCAGGGCCAGGAGGTGTACCTACGACGCCACAAGAAAGATGGGCTGGATGTGGGTCTGTCACAGCAGCGCTGGACGGTGAAAGAAGTGCGAGATTCAGGGGTGCTGGTGCTGGAGAGCGAGGCAGGGGTGAGGTCAGTGGATCACATCACGAATGTGGCACGGGCGGGCGGATATCAAGGTCCCGTGACTAGGGCGAGGGCGGCAGGGTCACAGGAGGGGCAAGGGGATATCACGAATCAGAAGCAGTGAGGACGACAAGGAAGTTGTACCAAGTGAGGGGAAGGGAGGTAAATTCCTCAGAGACATGAGTGAGCATGAGTCAAGAAGTAAGGGAACAGAACTCAAGTGACATTGGAATCGCCAGAGAGCAGAGAAGAGAGAAGGGAGAGACATGGGAGAGGTACTAAGGTGGTGAGAGGTAAGGGAATTTCTGACAGCTCATTGTTCACCGCCCAAGTGTAAGGCGTATCAGGCGGCGGGGGTACACTTCTATTCTTCCCAAGCGGCACGACGTCTGTTTTTCCCTGGTTCACCTTTAGGCCTGATCTCCCTCCAAACTCCTCTAGTAGTTCACAAGCTCTACCAATCAGTTCTTTCCAGTTCAGCATCACCATTGTATCATCTGCGTCTCCCAGATACACGATGTCCCCAAACCCTTGTTGCTCCTTCTGTGCAAAGGGCTGGGGCAGCAGAAACTTGATTCTCCAACACTCCCCCTCACACCAGACCCGAAGCACACATACGCCCATTCTTATTCTCCTCTTACATCTCTTTGGCATACACTCCATGCTGCTGCCCATATTGCTTCTCCTCATACCCCTCATTCTCCTCAAACTGCTGCACTGCTTCATGAAGTGTCATGAGACCTGCTCTTGCCTTGCACATGTTGAATGCATCATGTGGAAGAACCTTAGTCATGAAATCTGCTGCTTGGTCGAATGAACGGCAAAAGTTGACGGCGAGAACTCCCTTCTCTAGTTGCTCACGGATGAAATGGTACTGCACCTCGATTTGTTTTGTACGCCCATGATGAACCGGGTTCTTGGAAAGAGCGATGGCTGAAGTGTTGTCCACGTAGAGCGGAGCCGGTTGAGTTTGCGGCTGCCTCAAGTCCTCCAAGAGTCCACGTAACCAGATTGCCTCCCTTGCTCCTTCGGTCATTGCCATGTACTCGGCTTTGGTTGTAGAAAGCGCCACACAACTTTGCTTGCGTGATTGCCAAGAAACAGCGGCACCGCACATGAGGAAGATGTAGCCGCCGGTGGACTTGCGTGTGCTCAATTCTCCCGCCCAATCTGCATCGGTGAAGCCTTGGAGGGAGCTTGCATGTGGGCTGGCTTGGAAGAGAAGACCAAGATTAGAAGTACCTTTGAGGTACCGAAGAGCTCGCTTGGCTGCATGCATATGGGTAGGTGATGGGTCACTCATGTGTTGAGCTAGCTTGGATACCGTGAATGCTAGGTTGGGCCTTGTGCATAGGGCTGCATACATGAGACACCCAACCTGACTTTGGTAGAGAGCTAGGTCTTGTGGGGATACCTTGGGTGAATTTTCACCATGATGCTCACTCTCCTCAAGACACAACTCTTCAATACCCGTGATGTCAAGGCTTGACTCCCTCTCTTCATAGGGCTGATGTGATGACAGAGGGACAAAGTTGGAAGGAAGCGGGGTAGGTGATGGCTTGCTATCATCAAGACCAAACCTCTCAAGGACCTTTTGGATGTACCTTTGCTGGAATAGGAAGATGGACCGTGACTTATGATCTCTCACAATGTTCATACCAAGATAATGACTCGGCTCACCAAGATCGGTCATCGTGAATGCACTCATGAGAATACCTTTTACCTTGTTGAGGAGATCAAGAGAACCTGAGACTAGGAGGAGGTCATCAACATATACCAACAGCCAAATGTACTCCCCCTTACTCGTGTGCATGAAGTACAACGCGTTATCTCTCATGGACCTTGTGAAACCGTGCTTGAAGAGTACCGTCTCAAGAGCATGATACCATACCTGTGGGGACTGTTTGAGACCATAAAGTGACTTTACCAAGCGACAAACTCGACCCGTACCATCATCATAACCTTCGGGTTGTGCCATGTATACCTCTTCGTCCAAGACACCGTAAAAAATGCGTTCTTGACATCCATTTGATGGATATGGAGACCAAGATATGCGGCTAT